CTGCCGCCGACCCACTGCTTAGCGGTGGCACGGCCTGTCCTCTGGTGAGACAGTAGAAGCGCTGAGAAGGCATACTGCATATGGCGATGCCTTCAAACGCCGAAAAGGCAGGGGAGGCCGCAGCGGTGGGCCGCCAGGGCCCACCGGCCTGCGCCCCCTGAGTTTAAGGTTTAGGGTTTAGGGGTTCAGGTTTAGGGTTTAGGGTTTAAGGTTTAGGGTTTAGGGTTTAGGCTTCCGGCAGAGAGTTCAGAAGCACGAGGTCTCTTCGCCGAAGAGGGTTTGCAAGGGTTTGGGGCTTTAGGGTTTAGGGTTTGCAAGGGTTTGGGGTTTAGGGTTTGCAAGGGTTTGGGGCTTTAGGGTTTGCCAGGGTTTGCAAGGGTTTAGGGTTTGGGGGTTTAGGGTCTTCAAGGATTTTTGTTCGGGCTTTAGGCCTCTCCACTCAAGAGGTGGGGTCTTCAAGGAGTTTTTGGGGCTGCAGGGTTCAAGGGCTTTGGGTGCAGGGCTGTTGGGTTTTTTGTTGACGTTTTTCTGGCAAGACTCTGGTAGCTTCGACGGCAGGGTATCTCAAAGTGCTGTGGGCGCTGAGGGCGACCTGCACTAGAAGAGCCCCTCGATGCCTGCGAAGGCGCGTACCTTATGTCTGCCTTCGCCTTTCTGAGACATGCTCTGAGCATCCCTTGGGAGGCACAGAGGAAGACAGCCCAGCCAGGATACTGGTTTGGGGTTTAGGGTTCTGTAGGGTTCAGAGACTCCAAAGAGAAAACCGGTCCCGGGCTCTGCGTCTTGCGAGGACACGATGCCTGTCGTGGAATGCTGGGCTACTTTTGCTGCTCTGGGGTTCTGGAGGCCCATCTCCAGCCTTCGGCAGGGAGCAACCGATTATTCATATACCATATTCTACCCCAATGTACTACAGTATGTGTTGATATATTGAGATAAACTATAGTATATGTAAAAATGTGGACTTAGAGGTGCTGCGCTTGCGGCAGGACCACCCAAGAGCAAGGACACTTTTGTCGAGAGTCGATGTGGCCTGGAATCTCCTACGTCGGACATCGACGATGAGAAGTTCTGTCTTAAGGTGCTTCGACGGTTCAACACAGCTTATATAAGGTTGAAACCATGGGCCCCCAGTATGGGCCCATAACCCTGGGATCCTCATACACCTGCTATATACCCTATATGTACCTTTGAAGGGTCCCTAGAAAGGCCTAAGGGTCCATATTAGGGGCCCAGACGTCTAACCTTAGAGCTTAGTCCCTGACGGCATGATGCTTGCTTCTGCTGGGCAGGCCCTCCTCAGTGTGTTCTAGCAGCAGCTCATGTTTAAAGACGTCGCAGCTGCTAGAGCGAATATGTAAGGGCTGCGGAGCAGCCGAATTCACAGTCGTGGTTCCCACAGCGTGGGGATCTGCTCACTGAAACTCAGTGTTGAATGTACAGGCCTTGACACCGCAAGACAGGACAGAAAGATCCTGATGTTGCCATATGCTCGTCGCATCGAGAATCAAGCCCGACCCCTCGACCCTTACAATCGCGCATTTCCTTTTCTTGATTCTGCCCGGTGCGGCACAGTTGCAGCAGCTTCGGTGTTCCGGTGTAGTCTTCGCATGAGCCTGTTGCAGCTCAGTGCGCATTTGTTCTCAGTGCAGGCACGCACTTGGCTGTATGTGCCGAGAACTTTACCTCGCCCGAGAACTCGGGGAGTTTAGCTAGTGCAGAGTGCTTATCTTAATCAGATACTGCGAACCGGCTTTTGTGGGACTAAACCCAAGCAGGATCAACCTGTGCATCGGGAAAAGGATGACGCTGCAACGGTGCATGGTGGCGAGCGTGCTTCGCATGAGCGCCACTTGTTCGAAGAGCTCCTTGCAGCACTGCACGAGGAGAACGAGGCAGACATGGATGATGAGGAACAGCCTGAAATGCTTTGACAGACACCACCAAAGGCTCCCGAAAAGCTCCATTGCACCTGAAGCGTTCTGTCTGAGCTGTCATGTGTCTGTCAAGCAGGTTTCAAGGCCGTACCATTACCGTCATTGCTGTAGTCTGTAGCTTTAGTCAGACTGTTGTCGGACGACTGTCGCCCGACTGTAGTCTGTAGGAGAGCAGTAGGAATTCAACACCGCGGGCAGTGCACGATCAAGAAGTGCTTGGCCCGTGGCCCTCGGCGCGGATGTGCTTTCAGTGCTTGCTTGCCCATTCTCCTCGTGGATCGGAATACTCGTGATGAGCCTGCGTTCCGTTTGAGCGCTCTTCGGCCCGAGAGAATTTGAATCATCTCCCTTCCATGGGCTTGTGTCGCGGGCGGGCTAGATTAGGTCACAAGGCCAGGTCTTTTTCGGGATTCCGCGCTGGGCAGTGCTTGTCACATCTGAGCCCAGGAAGGAATCAGGCTGATGCGAATTACGGAAGGCTCGGCCTGATAAGATTTGAACTCTGAGTTCGGAACTTGCTTTAGATTTGCACATATTGTGCTGCTCGTATCATAGTGATTGTTTTTTTTTTACGTATGGTGATTACTATACTATATTCGTCTTATACTCCCCACCAGGCAGCAACCGCGATGAGCGAGCGCCTCAGGCGGCAGCTCACAGAGCCGGTCATGGTCTTTGTAGGTGCAGCGGGCAGCGAAAAAAGCTCTAAAGTTTATAGGGTTTTGGGGTTTAGGGGTTTAGGGTTCAGGGTTTAGGGGTTTAGGGATTTAGGGTTTAGGGGTTTTGGGTTTTGGGGCCTAAACCCTCTTCGCTTCTCCGGTGGCCATGAGGCTGGTACGTTGGTCACGATGGACGACAGGCATCGGCAGCATGTGCAAGTGCAAGTGTTTAGGGTTTATAGGGTTTAGGAACTTCAATGCCATTTCGGGACTCAAGAACACAATAATCACAATAACAACTTTGAGCAATGATGACTACTGTGGCTAATAGTATTCCAGTTAGCATTGATATCACTAATAAGATGAATATTCGTAGACTTTATGACCGTTCTTATCAAAATTATTACTCATGTTATTTGTCGTAGTATTGCTTGTCACGTAAGCTCTGTGAGTCCTATTCATCTCCACCGCGTTCATACGAATTCATAATCTTAGTAGTAGAGTGGGTAACCTTTGACCTCTGTGGGTAGTAGAATCCCTGACAGAATCCCAAAGTTTAACCTTTAGTTTTTTTCTAGGATACTGGACAAGTAAGCAAGGTTCTAAACCCGAAACCCTCGACTCTAAACCCTAAGCCCCTGATAGGCAGTCCAAAGGTCAGTACTACCGCTAGAGGAAAAGGGGCGACAAAAAAGAGAAAAAAAGAACCCTAAGCCCCAAACCCTGTTTATTAATGGCCTTCCTCAACCAAAAGACTATTCAGATGATAGTGTGCCACCCCAAACAAAAGAAGCCCAAAACCCTACTGCTTCTCCTGCATTTACTCTAAACCCTAAACCCTATAAACCCTAAACCCTAAACCCTAAACCCCTAAACCCTATAAACCCTAAACCCTAAAAATCCCTATAAGCCCTAAACCTTAAACCCTAAACCCTAAACACTCAAAGGCCCTTTAAAAAAAGAAAACCTAAACACTAAACCCTATCTCCTGCGTTTTTTTCAGTCAGGTCTGGGTTGATGCGCGCGAGACGGTTTTCACCTGCGACAAGCCCGAGGCCGGTCGCAAGCTTCGGGTTTAGGGTCTTAGGGTTTAGGGTTTAGTGGGTTTAGGGTTCAGGGTTACAGGGTTTAGGGTTACAGGGTTTAGGGTTTAGGGGTTAGGGTGAATTCGGGTTCTTCGAGATAGATGTATTTTGTTCTCGTACTGGAATGTTCTATACAGTAGGGGTTCTCCAGGCCCCCGAAAGCCAAGCATAAGTCATACAGGCTTGAGGGTTTAGGGCTTAGGGCCTCGGGCTTAGGCTTTAGGGGTTATGGTTGAGGGTCCATGGCAAGGGGGAGATCTTGACCGAAGCATGAATCTGACAACATGGACATGAAGCTCGACAACAACTGAGATCCATCCAAACAAGAATGATGGGAAGGACAGAGTCAGAGCTATTCTTTGTGTCACAAGGGTGAGCCTTTTGCCAAGTTTTCCTGCTTCGCGATGATTCGCTCGACGTTTGCTACTTGGCGTTCTAACTATCCTTCTAACTTCCAGCGCAGGCTGAATCATAGGGGGGCTCGGCTTTGCCGCAGCCTTTTGATTCGGCTAAGTTGCCTTTTAACTGCTTCACGGGACCGACTGCATCTCGAATGTGTTTCGCGATCGACTGTCACTTCTGCAGCAGCTTGTGATGTGCGTTCAAGCTGGTGGTGGGTGTGCAAAAGGGGCCGAAAATTCACGTCTGGGATGTGGCTAGAGGCAGGTGGCATGAAGTGGGGCTTGATTACGGGAATCTGTACTAGAACACCGCACATATACACTCACCAATATCTCAAGGACGCAGAAATATACAACCACCGAGGCCTGATATGATGAATCGAACCCTGCCTCATGTTGCCCAAAGGACGATTTGCCCACCAGGCAGCTGCCAGAAGCCCAGAAGGCAGCACGAAGCTCGGCCTGCTCGGATAAGCAATACCAAGGACATACCTGGCCTCAAACTTGCAGAAGACTGTTTTTGCAGAGCATGCCGTTGACGACCTCGATGGCAAGAAAGGCAAGAAAAAGGACGCTGCTCTTGCCATCTCTTGCCATTGTACTGCCCCTCAAGATGTCGCAGCCATGACAGGACAAACAAGCTGGACGGCAGCGTGGATTCATCGTGCTCGGCCCCTTACAACCCTAAACCCGCAACCCGCAAAAGCATGAGTGATTCTGATGTGCTGCTCGGACTCAGGCGGGTGGACCAGGACGAGCGGGTGAATGTTCTGCCTTCCGTGCAGGCAACTACCAGAAAGGGCTACTTAAAGCGGGGTTAGTTTGCGGGTCTTGGCCAACGTTTATATTGTTCTTTGCAGTAGGTGTGTTGATGAGGGCCCCGTTGGGGTTAACCGGAGGTAACATTGAGATACTGCCCTCTTGCTTTTGCTCTGTCGAAGTGCACCTCTTGAAAGGCTGCTGTGGACAAGCTCCAGAGCAGCGGGGCAGTTTCGCGTGTGGATTTGGACGAGACCGAGGGCAAGAAGAGGACGTTCTTCGTGTCCTGTGCCTCACTACTCAAGGTCCCAACAGTTCTGCCCTAACCCCTAAACCTTAAACCCTAAACCTATGCACAAGATGCTTTATTAAACGGAGCTGCAGGAACAAGAAAGGGCGCGACAACGACGAGGCGCTCAGAAGTTAGAGCACAGCTGCTTCAGAAGAGTTACTATTCACATCATATTGTTCTACCAAGTTGTTTTTTATAGTATTGCTCACCTAAACCCTAAAGCCCTAAACCCCAAAACCCCTAAACCCTAAACCGCGAAGCCCCAAAACCCCCAAACTCCTAAAGCCCTAAACCCCTTCTATCCTCTCAACTTCTGTTCTGCGAAGAAGAGGCCAAAGAGACAACGGAAGAACCGGAGCCGGGCCTTCCCCTTGGCGTGAACGAGTGCCGAGCCCTCTCCTCAGCCGGTGTCCAGGCGTTGCTGGTGACGGGTCTGCAGTTTTGGCGTTTAGGGTTTAGGGTCTAGGGTTTTGGAGTTTTGGGTCTGGGGTCAAGGGAGTTGGCGTTTAGGGTCTAGGGTTTTGGAGTTTTGGGTCTGGGGTCAAGGGTTGAGGCCTTTGGGGTTTTAAAGGGTAGTTAACCATAGGCCCCTAAGTAGTTCCTTTTTGGGATTACCTTATAGGATTCTACATATAAACCACAAAAAGGAACTACTTAGGGGCCTATGAGTAGATCACATTCCGCGAGGTGGAAACAGTTGCGAGATGCCAGCACCAGGCCCACGGCGCGCGGACCTCGAACCGTTTTGGGGTACTTCTCTTGATTAGGGTCCCGTTTTAGGGTTCCTTAAAGGGATCTAGAAGGGTTTCTATAAGGGTAGAGTAGAGAATTCGGGTTCCTTAAAAGGGGGCCTAGTTATTAGGGTTTCCAAAGGGGCTTGTTGGGTAGTTCTCCAAAATCAGGGTCCCTTTCGAGGGTCCTTTTCATAAGTTGGGCACGCCGTGGAGGTCCCAACCCTAAACCCTAAACCTTATAAACCCTAAGCCCTATAAACCCTATAAGCCGTACAAACTCTAAACCCTATAAACCCTATAAACCCTAAACCTAAACCCTAAACCAGTGCAGATCCTGGGCTGACCGTCCAGAAACCCACCTCCACGGCCAAGACTAAAACGAAGACCCGTGTTTTCTTCGAAAGCAGTCTGAGCCGGCAGAACCTTAGCGCTTTAGGGTATGATGTTACGGTTTAGGGTTTAGGGTTTATAGGGTTTAGGGTTCATAGTATGACGAAGCCTCGTCTGGATTGAGTCAAAGGGAAGTTGAGAGAGCCCGTGACTGGGAGACCTGACCAAACCCAGAGGTCACAGATCCCATGTCGTCGAAGCATCCAGCTCTAGTTTGGCAACACTCCAGATCGAATGAGTTTTGTGGTTCCCAAAACCCTAAACCCTAAACCCTCGGTTCGGAATCTTCCGGATGGAGAAGCAGTACCTGGTATCCGTCGCTTAGACAGCACCGGCGCCTATGGAAGAAGGCGAAATTGGCGGCCTCGTCCTGCGCCGCTACTTCGTGATCGAGCCAGGGAAGTTCGACCATCTCCTCCTCGACGTGTTCATGTTCCAGATCCACCTGATTATGTTCCTCGAGCTGCTCGTGAACGAAGTCGGAGCCGTGATGCTGATGGTGATGAGGGTGGTGAGGACTTCGCTGCTCCTGGCTCGTCTTCGAGTGCTTCTGGTGTGGCGACGTGCGAGGAAGCTCCGGTTGGTGCAGAAGCTCATGTTGCCGCTGATGTCCGTCGTCGTCGTGTGGTGGCAGATGATGTGAGTCGTGACGTTGATGAGGGCTTGGAGTGAGTGGCCGTCCCAATGCTGGAGCGAGATCTCGTTCCTTACACCTTCTGCCTTCGGGTGGATTCTGCTGACTCTGCTGGTGGAAAAAGGTGTTTAAACAAAAAAACCCTAAACCCTAAAAAGCCCCAAAACCCTAAACCCTAAACCCTAAAAAGCCCCAAAACCCTAAACCCTAAACCCGAAGAAGAATTGAGGAGCCATGCTCCCAGGGAGGCCCAAGCTTTCACCGAGGCTTGGGCTCTGGAGGGTCCCATACAATCTCTATGACCCAAGAGAAGACGTAACGAGTCCGAGGGGGCCCCCCCAAAGTCCATAGACGATCCGTGAGTCGCACGTTTTAGTGGTGATGACGGCAATGTTATCTTGCAGTTCTTCAACATTTCGTGCACATGCGCGATGCAGCTTTTGGCAGTTTTGTGTGCGCCCCATTCCACTCTCGCAGACAGCCATGGCGGAGCCAGCGCAGAAGAAGGCTCGCACTTCCCGCACCTTCCTCTTCTCCTCCGAGTCGGTGAACGAAGGTGACGGGCTAAGAGCGGCTAAGTAGTGGAGCAGAGCCATGTTGAGAGCGGCAGAGTTGAGAGAAAGTCTTTTCCTTTTGACTGTTTTGAGACACTTGAGGCCACCCGGACAAGATCTGCGACCAGGTCTCCGATGCCGTCCTCGATGCCTGCCTGAAGGTGGACCCCAAGAGCAAGGTGGCCTGTGAGACGGCCACAAAGGACAACATGGTCATGGTGGCTGGTGAGATCACCACAGGGGCAAAGCTGGACTACGACAAGGTGGTGCGTGGAGTCGTTGCGCAGATCGGCTTCGACAGCTTCGTGGATGATCTTTCCAGCGTGGACAGCAAGGGCCTGAGCCACAAGACCTGTGAGGTGCTGGTCCGCATCAACAAGCAGAGCCCGGACATTGCCGGCGGAGTGCATGTCGGTAAGGACGAAATGGATGTGGGAGCTGGGGACCAGGGAATCATGTTCGGTTATGCAAGCGATGAGACTTCGGATTGCATGCCGCTGACCCACTCCATGGCCACAAGGCTCGGCAAGACCCTGACAGAAGTGCGCAAGAGCGGCGAGTGCTGGTGGCTGCGACCTGACGGCAAGACGCAGGTAACGATCGAGTACATGCAGCACCCGGACGGGTCTGTTGAGCCGAAGAAGATCCA